ATGCCCACCAGGGCCTCCCCCAGCCTGAAGAAGAGTCTCTCTCAGGCAAGGAGTCCAGGCACAAGGATGAGCTATGACAGCATCCAGGTCACGTGTGGCTATGATTGGACCCATAGGAAAGTACTCTGTCCACATCCTGAACTGGCCAGCCCCTCAGGGCTGTGGAGCAGGGAGGAACTTAGGTCTGTTGCCCAGCCAAAGGGACCCTGCTCCTAGCCTTCTGCATGGTGCTACTGCTCTTGGAGTGGATGTGACAGGACATTGCTCTCCTCTGGGTTTGGCTAAAGGCTCAGGATGTAGGCCCAGAGCCACCCCAGGCCTGTGCAGGCAGCTGCATGACAGCAACACAGTATTTAAGTGTCTGTGTAGACAACCAAAGAATAAATGATTTGTGGTTTTTGGTTTGCTGGTTTGTTTGGAGTGGAAATGTGCCCATTCCATCCCCGGCCATGCTTGATAGGAATGACTCTGGGCAGGGGCAGTGACCAGAGCAATGAGAGAAGGCCTGCTTCGGTACCCAGCCAGACCACCTTCTCAGGCCAGACACCGAACCCATGTACCTCGTGGTGTCCTCCATATAGGGGGGTAGGAATCAAAGTCTTCACTCTGCCCACCTTCTGGGCAGCTGTGCAGTCCAGATGCCGTATCGGACGTGACGGCACTTGGCAAACTGTAAAGCTGTGGGCGATGGTTGAGATTATTACTAATCCTCTTCTGGCAGGGAGCAGTAGTCAGCAGTGCTCTGGCAGGCTGCCCCCATGGCAGCCACATGCTTCCCAAAATGCTGGCTGGCTGCCCCCTTCCTCAGGGCCTCATGTGCAGGATGACTCCCCTGGGAGACAGAGAACATGGAGCTGGAGATTCAGCTTCTCTGGCCACATCCCTGGCACCAAGCCCAACACCTTCACTGTGCTTGAGATATGACAGGGCAGGGAATGTAGGAACTGGCACTCTTAAGTACTTATTTAGTCAATCAACCAATATTTATTGAGCACCAGCTTAGTGCCTGGTACTGGGACCATGACCTGGAAAAAACAGGCCCCTGCCCTCCTAGAGCATGTATTTTGTAGGTGAGACAGAAATAAATGTGTAAATATATGTGTGTGGTTTGTGTGTGCATAATCCTTTGAGGTAGAAAATAAAGCAAGTTAGAGCCCTGAGAGAAGGGACAACAAAGAGGCCATTGCTGTGGCAGAGCAGGCCAGGAGAAGAAGGATGAATGGTCAGCATTTGGGCCTTGTCAGCCCACTTTGAGGACTTGGGAGCCCCAGACAATTTTCAACAGGGGAGAGATGGCAGGTGACTTATATTTTAAAAAGCCTCTGTGACAGGCTGATGACAGGCTGCTGAGTGACCCAGGACAGGGAAAGATGGTCTGGGCCAGAGGTGGGCCATGAAGGTAGTGAAGACCAGGCTCTGGGTCAGCTCTAAAGTAGAGCCTACAGAGGTTCTGATGTACTGTAGTGAGGTGTGAGCATCCACAAAGAGCTAAGCTGGTGGACACTGAGCTGCCTCTTCCTGGAAGCTGAGAGAAGGCTGCAGGAGGAATGTTGGCGGCACAGCCACCAGAGTTTTCATATGGACGTCGTTCAAAGCCAGGAAATGTGAACCAGAGAAGTCAGAAGAGAGTTTGTCTGGAAGAGTGTGGCTAGATGGCAGGACCCATTGCTGAGAACTGAGAGCCAGGGTACAAAGACAGAAGTGTCCTGGCACCCCACAAGGACACTTGAAGGAGGAGGTGAACAGCAGAGTCAAATGCTGCCCAAAGGCTGAGCAAGAGGAGAGCTGAGGCTCCTCTTTTTCATTTGGCGGCAGGGAGAGCAGAGGGAACTTCGGCAAGAAATGCTTTCATGAGTGGGCATGGGTGAAAGATGAACTAGAGGGAGTTCAAGAGAGAAAGAATAAGGGGTGATTGTGGTTATGTACAGGAGTTTGGCTCCAAGTGGAGGCAGAAAGGTGAGCTGGAGGAAAATGGGGAGTTAAGAAACCATTTTTCGTGCTGGGAGATAGTACTGCATATTAGTGGACTGGAATGATCCAGTCCCAAAAGGTCATTGTTCCTGTCACTGTTGTTGATCTCTTCTGTCCTACCTGGGTGACTCATCGTACAGAGGACTAAAGGAAGCATTAGAGGAAGTTGCATGAACTTTACCCATGCATTGGGCTGAGTGATGCTCACTTCCTCCATTGAAGGTGTGTGACCTTTGAGTGGTGCAGCCTCCAAATGTGCTTCTTATCAGATCACTGGGATTACCCATGTACTGAGCCCAGGATGGTTAAGGGCACTAACGAGGTAATGTGCACACAGCACCTGGCACAGTGGTAGAGAATCAGCAGAAATCTACATAGGCCTCATTCTGGTAGTCTAGAAGTTTCCACCTCAAGGCAGATGACCTTTACAATTTCAACATATACTAACCACATAGAGACAACAGACTGTCTCTGTTGAGCACACCAAAGACCAAATGTTTTCAATGGCAACAGGACCAAGATAAGTGTATATAATTAGGCTAGGGCGAGTCATCCTGGAAGTAGAGGGTAATGGCAGCTAAGCTGTGAGTGTGATTCTTGGTCTGTGTGTATTGGCCTGTAGGCAATAGGAGGCAATTGACTTGGAATGAAGGGAGAGAACCCAGAGGCATATCAAAGGGGATGAGAGGCAACTCAGCAACCTGAGAAAGATTTGGATGTGACATCCATTGGTGTCCAGTACCCAAGGCAGGTGGCAGAGCTGGAGGGCACCAGAGACCCATGCAAAGAACCATTTGCAGTGGAAAGAAGGCACCATTGGACTGACAGGTGCACAACGTCAGTGTCCTTGCCCAGGGTTAAACAGTGGGACATGAGAGGCTGCTAGTCCAGCTTCAAGGTATTTCCAGTCCTCAGGAAGCAGTGCAGTGAGTGGGAGTATGCAGAGTATTAAGGAGTTCCAGATTGGGTGCTTAGCTGTGTCTAGACAGACAGAATTGTTGGGGGTGGCCACATTGCTGGCTGTACTGCTTTCTAACTATGTGGCCCGAGGCAAGTCATCTCTGTCGTGACCCATTGGTTGTGCAGGAAACTCAGACTGAGTTGGTTGAAGATCAGCACCACCCTGAGCCTCCAGAAGCTCCCATGGCAGCCATAGAGAGTGTGTTGGATTATAGCAACTGAATCAGACCTTCAGCAATAAAGAGGATGGTAGAAAGTCTTGGGTTTTTCATTAGGAGAGAAGCAAACACATTTATTCTTCATACAAATCAATGTATCCCCACCAAGGCCAGCAGACGTGCAGAGGAAGAGACTGTGCGCCCTCAGCTGCAGGCAGTCTGCATATCAGGATGAGGAGCCACAGCCAGTACCAGCCAGGGACAGACTTTCTGGAACAGCTTCTATTAGCCACAGTTCTGGCATTTTATTCATTCCAACAGCATTTCTCACCTATTATTTGATCCTTGTAAATTCCCTCATGAACCAGAGAGGGAAAGTGGTATTTTTCAGTTGAAGACCAGGCTAAGAGAAGCTGGGAACTTGCCTAATGTAACAGCTTTTCAATGGCAGAGATAAAGCCAGAACCTTTGGCTTCTTGTAAGAGAAAGGATTTTTTAAACTGTGTGCTGCCCCAGGGTACTTCCAGTCAGCTCTTATGGGAGGCTGGAGCAGGACCCTGAGCCTTCCTGCTCTCCCTGCATGCTCGGGAGTCACTGGGCTGCACGGCTATGGGCAGTGGCAGGTGCCTGGGGTGGAGAAGCTATGTGAGGTTGGGGGGTATCACTTCAGAAGCAGGACCTGAATTCCAGAAGGTTTGGAACAGTGGTGAGGAAAGACAGTCAGGATAGAAAAGATATTTGATAGTACAGATTTAAGAACTCAAATAACAAAGAGAAGGGCAACCAGAAGAGCTTCTGAGAAAGATTCGAGCATCGTAGAGGCTCTGGGTCCCCAGTGGAGGGTTTGGGGGATGCCCAGGACAGAGGAGCAGACAGGCATCCTGCTGCCTCTGGGGCCTCCCAACTACAAGGCTTAGGCCCTAGGGGCAATGGCGGTCTTTCCTTTCAGCTCTCAGCACTCTCACTTGTCAATAGAGTGTTACCTGGCAGTCTCTGAGGACCTGGGTGGCTCTGACACACCATTCTGTGTGACCTTGAGGCTTCAGAGCTCACATACTTAACCCAGGTGCTGCTGAGGCCAGAATGAGCTCTGGATCTTCCTCACAGACAACACTTTGCAGGAAGCAGAAGGGACCAAGGGCCAGTCGGGAGGGAGAAAACCACACTATTGAAATAGTGTGTGGCAAACATGCCACCAAGTGCAGGTCCCATGCCCCTCCCAAAATGTCACTTACCTCATTGGACCATCACAGCTCCATTGAAGCAAATGCCCATTTAGAGGTAAGGACACCACGGCTCCCATCGGATCCTCTGTAAGGAGTGTCTTAATGACTGCCCACCCTTTCCTACCTAGACCCAGTGTCTCACTCCAAAAGGCAGAAACACAAGGTGTAGGGGAGGAGCTCATGGGAGCCAGCACCATACATCCTGGAACAAGTCACCTCCCTTCAGTTTGGTGTCCGCCTCGGTTTCTCTCTCTTCAGAAGTCAACCTACCTGGAAGTATGCAGAGTGTGTGCAGGGTGCGCACTTGCCTTCCCTGTGGTCTTGTGTTTGAATCTCCTTTCCCACTCTGGGCTCCATGAACATCCCCTACTTCTTGCTGATCATGCCCTCATCATTTTAGCAGCAAAGGAATTTGAACTCAGAACCCTCTACCACTGTTCTAGACCCCGTTGGCATTTGGGGACCAGCAAGCCATCCCAGGAAGTAGGTCTGTGTATACACAGATCCATGTGACTTTGACCTTCCCCACACAGAGGACTCAGAAGGACCCGGTGTGCTGCACTGCTGGCCAAACAACACCCACCCCTGACCCTCCCAGGGTAGACCATTCCCCCAGCTCAGGCTGGAGTTGCAGGCCATACCAGGAGCCCACACCCTAGGCGGGCACACAGGGCTGTCATTGTCTGCTAGTGCCAGGCACCCTCTCCTTTGCATAGCCATGTGAAGAATGTGAGGGAGGAGGCTGGGGTCTTGGCCCTGCAGAGGGGCAGGGACTATGGGGGAGAAAGCTGGCTGGATCACAGCAGGACCCTGCCTTCCCCCAGTACAGTCCAGGAAAGGCTGGTGGGCTGCTGGGGACACAGGGGGTGGCCAGGGGACTGCACTAGTGGGAGCAGGGGCTTGACATTCCTGCTGCACCCACACCAAGCCAGTGGGGCTGAAATGAACGTGAGGGGATTGCTAATGAGGCTGGGGAGAGTTAAACATTCCCTGCTCCTGAGGGCTAAGAGGAGGGGTGGGTAGGGGTCTTGGAGGGGGCAGCCTGAACCCCAGGAATGTGCAGAGGCCACTGCCCCCTCCATACTGTCCTGGAGCTGGGGGCCAGAGCCCTCTGTTCCAGGTCCCAGCAGGAGCTGCTAAACCAGCCAGCAAAGGGATTAACAGGCTGGGCTGAGCAAACCACCTTCCTTCTGGCCAATGCCAGAGACTGGTGCCATCTCCCGTCTCCCCAGCTCCCTGCCAGGCCCCATGCTGGCCTGCAACCATTCTGACCCAGCCTCAATGGGGCCCCTCTTCTGATCTCTCAGACCCCAGACAGACCCCACAGAACATATTCTCTGGTGTGACCTCCCTTATGGTTCCCAGATACTGAGGACCCCTCTTCCCAACACCCTGTTCAGTCTCTCCACATCTGGCCTCAAAGCACTTGCCAAAACAGTTCTCCCTGATGTCTAACTCTAGGTTTACCTGATGCGAGCTGGGATTCCTTTTCTGTTCTGTCCTCAAGTCAGAAGGCAGGAAACCCCAACGGTTAGATAGGCCTTGCAAGTGCAAAGTCTGTGCTCACAGGGCTGGTGTTCTTGAGAGTAGGGATTATGACATTCTTAGGGCCCTTGAATCGGGCTCTGAAAGGGGCTTCCCTGGGCAAAGAAGGTCTTGAGAGCAGCAGGTTCCCTCCTCCCAGCCCCTCCCTTGTCTGTCCTGGGGGGTAGGGGCGGAGCAGGGTACCCACCTGGGCTCTAGGCCCCACCCTCCACCCCCAGGGGGCTGGGTACCAGCTTTGTTAGGGACCCTGCCTGGCTCAGGCGGCTTTGCTGTGGGCGGGCCTTTGGCCTCTTCCAATCCCTGGGCCTCCCCCTGCATTCTAGAGTCCAGAGCCATTGCCTTTGCTGCCACCAAGGCTGCTGCTGCCTCTCCTCCTCTGCCTCAGACCACCCACAGCTCCCCTGCTCCAGCTGCTCCTCTCGCCTGGCCATGACCACAGCGCTTTCCAAGACCCTGGCCCAGCTCTGAACCCTGGGACCACAGGCCCCTCCCTTGGGCCATGGCCAACTCAGGCCTCCAGCTCCTGGGGTACTTCCTGGCCCTGGGTGGCTGGGTGGGCATCATCGCCAGCACAGCCCTGCCACAGTGGAAGCAGTCCTCCTATGCTGGTGACGCCATCATCACTGCCGTGGGCCTCTATGAAGGGCTCTGGATGTCTTGCGCCTCCCAGAGCACCGGTCAGGTGCAGTGCAAGCTCTATGACTCGCTGCTCGCCCTGGACGGTAGGCCTCAGGCCACTGGGCCTGGGAGGGGTGACAGGGGCCTGGGAGGGGCGATAGGGGCTGAGAAGGTCTAGAGCAAGTGTTCTCACACTCTTATCATCAGCACTGGATCCCATACTCCAGCCCCTGCACGATCCTGCGCTACCTCCCTGTGTACAGCCGAGAATCCAGGCCAACTTGGAGCTAAAGGGTCTGGCAGCCTTGGGTCTAGATTTCTGTTCTGCCCCATAATCTTGTGAGTCAACTTTTGCATTCTGATGTCCTCATGTGTGAGAGAGGGGCACTAATACCTTATAGGACTTGGAAGGGCCTGGCACTTTGAAAGCCTGTGTAGACCCTTCACTCCTCATACTCTGCACACAGACACACACTTGTGTACACACACCTATTCCTCAGTCCTGCCACCCAAGCAAGTATGCTGGCACACAAGTGCACGTGTGCACACGCGCGCACACACACACACACACATAGAGGAGTGTCAATACAGGGCCCCTTTCCTCCTGGGGTGTACAGTTGACACTGTCATAACAGGTACCATTACAGCTGTAACCTTGGCAGGATGGACCCACCTGCACTCTGCCCAGGGCCCCACAGGCACTTGAGCAAAGCTGCTACCAGTCAGCCCCCCTGTACCAGTCCAGGCAGGTCACTGACCTCCCTCAGGGACCCAGGTCTCCTGAGCTGGCTGGGGCCCAAGACTGACCTTTGTACCTATGGAGAGGCAGGCACATGGCTCCCTCTGCCAAGACTGAATGGCCCCAGGAGGAGTGTCCTCCCCCTGCCTGCCCTGCTTTCCCTCCCTACTACTTGGGAGAGTGGGCCAGGCCCAAGAGAAAGAAATAGAAAAGCTAATTCAAACACTCTTTCACCAAGAGCCATTCAGAGGAGACTGCAAGGTTCAAAAGAAAACGGTGTCCCTCCACCCTGTCCTCACACCTCCACTTTCACTTCTCACAAGCAGGCAGGCAAGTGGTTTGACCTCTGTGGGCTTCTGCTCAAGCCACTCCCATGCTGGGCTCATCCCACCACAGGCCCAACTTCAGGCATTGTCCTCCAGCCCCATTTCCACCCCTCCCCTCCACACACCATGACCCCCCTCAGTATTGTCCTGGTCCTGCCCCAGGTCACATCCAGTCAGCCCGAGCCCTGATGGTGGTGGCCGTGCTTCTGGGCTTTGTGGCCATGGTCCTCAGCGTTGTGGGCATGAAGTGTACCCGAGTTGGAGACAGCAACCCCATCACCAAGGGCCGCGTGGCCATCTCCGGGGGTGCCCTCTTCCTCCTGGCGGGTGAGTGCCCCTGCCTCCTCCACCCTCTTGGCCACAGCAGGTAGCCCTGCTCTGCTAGTTGGCCAGGGGCTGGACAGAGCTGAGCACTCCCCTGCTTTGTCCTCAGGCCTCTGCACTTTGACTGCTGTCTCATGGTATGCCACCCTGGTGACCCAGGAGTTCTTCAACCCAAGCACACCTGTCAATGCCAGGTGAGTGCCAAGCCTGCTTCACTCCTCTGGGGCCACTAGCCTTTGTCTGGCAGTCACTTGGAAGGGAAATGGGGAATGTGCTCCAGCTGTTCTCGGAGAGGCTGTGGAGCAGGGAGCCAGGCAGGGTATGGCCAGACACTTGGCAGGAACAGGAGGCCTGTGGAGGCACCCAGGTGCAGTGAGGACTCTGAGGAGCTCAGGGCCCTGGCTCTGGGTTCTAAGCCCAGTTCTGGTGGGGAGATCTAGGTCAGTAACTTTATGTCTCCATGCCTGGCTTCTTCCTCTGAAAGGCAGCTATGCTCACCACTATACCACCAACGCAAGCCTGGCTTCTTCCTCTGTAAAATGGAGCCAGAACCTAAGGGCCAGCTCTCCTGTGGTTGGAGAGTCTGTGAGACCATGCAGGTAAGGGTTTTAGCACGGTGCCTGGATCTGAAGAGTGCTGGGCACACCTGAGCTGCTTTTATTTCTGCTGGTGGCAGCAAGTCCAGGTTTTGGGGGTCCAGAGGGATGAGACTAAAGTAAAAGGGCACATGGGGTAGGGCCTGGCAGTCTTGGGAAGATTTTGCCTCTTATCCTGAGTGGACTGCAGCAGCAGTCATTTGTTGTGGAGTGCACAATGGGGATGGGGGGACAAAATGGGGGGTGGGGGGCAGCTGTTTGAGCAGAGGGCTCAGGGTGAGGGAGGGAGCAGTGCAAAGCAGGCTCAGATATCTGGCAGCTAGAATTGACCTGCAAGGCCACAGCATGGGGGCAGAATAAGGGGCTCTCAGAAGAGCCTGGGCCATCTTGGTTCCTCCCTTATCTCTCAGCCCAGCCAAGAACAAAAATGGAACAGTCTCAGCCCCAGATATCCAACAGGCCCTGGGGGTAGGGATGAGAAAAGATGCCTGGGCTGTCCCTGGGGAGGCCCTCTAGGAAAGGGTGCCTTTTGCTAAATCACAGAGGCGGAGAGACCCAGGAAAAGGCTGGGCTGGGATGAAGAGCCCAAAGTGCCAGGAAGAAAAGCCAGTCTCCTCCAGAGGGCAGGGAGGAGCAGCCCAGGCTTGCAGCTCTGTGAGCCAATTTTGACTCCAAGAAGTCGGCAGGGATTGCTCAGCTCCACCCATCTCCACAGCCAGGGTCCTCCCATGCCCCCTCCACTGGCCAGAAGAGAAAATGAGCCTGCGTTGCTCAGAGCAGGCCCACTCTCGGCCTTAGCTGCCCTGGATGGTACTGATTTGCTGGGTGAGGGAAGAAAGGAAGAGTATTCACCCTGGTTTCCCTGGAGAGATGGAGGAGCTTATGAGTTAAGACCTCCATTTTCTCCATATCCTGCCCTCTGCCTGGCTGAGGAGCAGGACCTGGAGAGGGCCAGGATGAGGCAAGGTCAGAGAGGCAATCACATCTAATACAATCTACCCCTTACAGGTATGAATTTGGCCCAGCTCTGTTTGTAGGCTGGGCCTCAGCTGGCCTGGCCATGCTGGGGGGCTCCTTCCTCTGCTGCACCTGCCCAGAGCCTGAGAGAACCAACAGCAACCCACAGCCCTATCGCCCAGGACCCTCGACTGCTGCCCGAGAGTACGTCTGAGTCCTGCCTACTACCTGCTCAGCCCTTCTGTCTGGAACTCCAGTCAGCCCCCTCTGCATCCCAGGCAGGGCCTGTAGGGCACAGATGTCACCCAAGCTCAATCTGGGGATCTGAGCAGCTGGTCATCTGCCATCTGAGACTTATACCCAGATACTCAGAGAGAGAGAGAGAGAGAGAGAGAGAGAGAGATCAGAGGCAAGGGCCTGCCCATACATGCACACCCAGTGAGGCCCTGACCCTATCCAGTCGGCACAGCTGGGTGAGAACCAACATGCTTCCTACCCCATTACCAAAGGGCCTCTGCACCAGCCTAGTCGCTGGCCCCTTCACCTGCTCCCTTATTTGCTGAAGGGCCATGTGTCTACTATGTGATGGGCCCTGAGGAGCCCGCAGTAACCAAGATGGGCCTTAGTGCCCAGAACCTTGGGATGGGCAAAGCCCTCACCCTCCTGTGTCCCACAGGCTCCTCACAAGCAACCCCATGGAGGAGGCAGTACCAGGATAAGAAACGTCCCCACATTACACATGAGGATACTCAAGCTCAGAGACACACAGGCCTGGCCCTGATTTCTCAGAGTGCAGTGCTCAGGCTCTTCCAATCACCTGGCACTGCTTTTATGGCCGCACAGATCTCTAGGTCAGACCACTGTCACCCTCACTCCCAGGAATGGGCCCCAGGCTAGTATGCTTGAGGGCCGAGGTCCTATTGCACTGGCCAAGGATGTACCTAGGCCTAAACTCCACAGCCCCTGCCTCTCCCACTGCTATTCCTCCCACTAACCAGCTCTCTCTCTCTTTTAACTTTCAGACCGGTTAAGTTGCCCGCCTCCACCAAGGGCCCCTTGGGTGTGTAACGTCCAAGTTCCCAGCCAGGCTCTGTCCCCTGCCACATCTAAACCATGTATTTAGTACTTTTTTGAAAGAGAAGTGAACATTTAGTCCCAAGTGTGGTGTCATCTGTGTATTTCCCATGTGCCTAGGGTGGAGTGTGACTCAGGCAGAGTGAGGAAGTGCTTAGAATTTCTGCCCCCTCCTTAGTGACCTTCCAGCCTAGTCTTGGCCTTGGTGGTGCCAGGACCTCCATGAGCAGAGATCCCAGCCACCCTAGAGGCTACCCTTGATGCCTGGCCAGCACTTGGAACAGGTCCCCATGGGTCAGGGAGCCCCTGGCATGGAGAGAGGGTCACAAGCCCTGTCCCTAGGACCCCTCCTAAGGGAAGGAACAGTCCCTGAAAGACCCTCCAGCTGGGTGCTGAATCAAGCCTGGTGAGGGGACATTGTGTAGGAGTCCCTGGGTAGAGAAAGTTTGAGGCCCACAGCTCTGCTCCCTGCAGTGGAGACTATGGCCAGAGCTCTATTCTGACCCAGAGTGCAGCGGTTGGGACTTAGTCTAATAGTCCAGGTACTTGCCCTCTGGGAGGGGTAGAATACTCAAAGGAACATAGGAAAACCAGCTCAGTCATCTGAGCTGGCCCCAGGGTCAGCCAGTGCCCTCATCCTGCCTCCCCATCCAGAGTGTGCAGGCTTCTGCCACTGCAATTGCTTCCCTAGACTTCAGGTCGAGCCATGGCTTCCATCTCTTTCCTCTCCTCCTAGAAGGAAGTGTCCATCATTGTCCCTCCTCCCTTGCCTGCTAAATACCTTCCTCAACCAGTTCTGTCTTGTTTTCTCCATCACCAGACCACATCTCCCACCAAGTCACCAAATACCAGCAATATGGCTCAGCTTCTCCCTCAAGTTTCACTCTGGGAGGTGAAGTGACCGAAATGAAGTCAGACAAGATGTCTGTGTGCACACTGCCACCTTGGGGATAGGGGATGGTGGAGAAAAGTGAGTTGCAGGGGCTGGTATGGGATGGCCCCCAGCCCTAGTTGGGCAGCTACTGCACATTCATAGGTGCTGCTGGCCAGACAGACAGTGACCACCCAGCCCTAAACAGGCTCACTAGAGTCCTGCCCCTCAGATTGTAAGTGACAACTACAGAAGAGTCTTCTGGGTTCCTGAAGCTATAGCACAATGGCTCTTCACCCTGGCTGCACATTGGAGCCACCTAAGGGCTGATGCCCAGACTACCCACAGTCATGCTGACTTAATTTGTCTGGGTGGACCTTGGCATCAGAGCTCCTTAGAGGAATGTAGTGTGTGGTCAGAACTGTGCCTCTCTGAGGCCTACACTTGGGCCATTCAGAGGAGTACACAGAGTGCAAAAGGACCCTACAAGAAAAGGGAGTGGCGCGACTGGAGAAGAAGCCTGTCTCCCTCCTGCCTTCCCAAGGTTCAGCCCATTAGAGGACACACCCACTTCCTTCTGATCAATATCCTCTTCTGTTGAACAATTTTGAGTTTGAGTTACATGCAGACAAAAGAGCCTTGACTAACACAGAACTTGGAACCCGGGAAGTAAGCACTGCGCTGAGGGCTCCTGTGTGTCATACTGGCGGAGGAGGGCTAGGATGCTCCCCCTACTCCTGGCTGGGTACTGTAGCAGCCCTATTCGGTAGTGAGGTTGGCAGGAAGGCACATGTCATCTTTGAGAAGGTGCAGGCTACTTCTTGTGGGCTTCTGGGACAGGAGAGAGAAATCTGCATGCAAGCAGAGGACCTGGTAATAAAGTGTGAATGAGCTGCAGTCTGTTCCTTCATAAAGGAAGCCTGTTCTGCCTGTAGCCAGGGACAGGGAAGGCAGAAGAGGGTCAGATACCCATGCACCTCGCCAAATTGTACAACCTATTAATACTTGGATTAAAAATGTGTGAGGTTGGAGAAGTGACTCAGGTAGTGGAGTACCTGTCTAGCAAGCTTAAGGTCCTGAGTTCAACTCCCGCCCCCACAGTACCGCCAAAAAATAAAAATGCATAAGAGATTGGCAGTGAGAATGAGGTATCAGGGAGAAAATGAAAGAGTTTGAAGCTGAAAGAGTTTAGGGAACCTGACCCCACAGGCCTCTCCTGAAGCAACCCCATTCAAGTATCTACATCAAGGTCATCCTTGACCATCCAACCAGAGGCAGGCCAATTTGCCAGGTGTCATGACCTTAAGCCTAAGAGACTGGGCAAATTCCCAGGAAGACGAGGCTCAGACTCAGAAGGCATGATTTTAAAGCTTTTGCCATTGTTAGTCAGCAGAGTCCCCGGGAATGAATTTGGCAGGCTATAAAATATGATTTTAGGAGGAATGTTTCTTTGTGCTCAGCCCCTAAGGAAAGCCCCAGACCCTAGGGAAACTGACCAGGAAACTTCTCTACATTATTTGAAAAGATGCTTGAAAAATGTGCATCTGAGACTATGACATGTGGCCAACTAGATGATTTCAAAGGATTATTGTTAATTCTGTGTTTTATATATAGTTAATTTTGTGTGATAATGACTTTCCTGTTACTTTTTTTTTTAATCCTTATCTGGTAGAGGTGCACACTTAAATGATGGATGGATTTGCTTTCAAATACTCTAGGAACAAGTTCATGGGCAAGGAAAGCTCTAAAATTGGTAAACGCAATGCTTGTTGGGGGTTCACTCTACCTGTCTATTTGTATGTGTGTTTGCTAATGAAAGATAAATAAAAAGTTTAAAAATACCTCCAAGTTTTGCTGGTCATACCATTTCAATACACTCCCAGGCCAGAAGAATAAGAAGAAAATCCTAAAAACTCTTGCTACTCCCAGCCTTCAGACAGCAGTATTGCATCACCTGGAAACTTGTTAGAAATGCACTATCTCAGAGCCCCCAACCCAGACCTAATGAATCAGACTTGGCATTTTAATAAGATCTCCAGAAAGTTTGTGCTTGCACTGGAGTTTGAGAAACACTAATATAGACTAGTGAGAGCTACATGGCACTTTCCCTTTTAAAAATGAGAATTTATATTGAGCTAACCCTGTTTCCCTCCATCATTCGTCTGTACTGAAGTGGATCACTGTTTAATTTTTGTCTAGACTTGGCAATTTTTGAGGAATTACAACTAAACCTCATTTAGGCAAAACTTGAAATGAAAGACAACATCCAACCCTCCTATTAAAAATGGGTAAAGCATAAAAAATTCTTTGAAGCATCAAAGGACTGCCATGATACGTGGAATCTACAAGCCAAATCCTGAGAAGCTCTCCTTTGTCCTTTCAGCTACACGGTGGTCCACAAAGTCCCCACAATGCTGAAGGGTCCTTGGCTAGCATGACTGGAGATTAGTTAATGCACAGGGGAATGAACAAATAAGTGGATACCTTGAAGAAAATGGAAGCCAGGCTACTCAACTGACAGGGAACAGATTTACAAAGATTGAAAGAGAAAGGACTAGAACAGATCCTGTAGTACTGGATTGGAATTGGAGGTATCTGGAAAAACTTGTTAATTTTTTTAGTATATATAGATAAATATCAAAATAGATATAGATGTGTGTATGGGTACATGTATGATGTATATACATGCATATGTCTATGAGCTCTAACCCTAGGAAGGCCTAGCCACAATAATTCTCCAACAGAAATGGGCACACCTCAAGTCCATCTTCATTTCTGCATATTGTTCTCCATTAAAAGGTACCAGGGCCACATGGAGAAGTGGCTGATTTCAGAGCTATGGTATAGGGAAAGTACAAAATAATCTTTGAACAGCTTCATGTTTCAGAAAGTAAGAACCTGCTCAAAGATTAAAAAACAGATTAAAGGTGTTCCAGCTTGCTTTATTTGAGATAATTTGAGAATCAAAATAAATAATTATATTTCAGGAGAGTGATGTCAGCAAGATGGCCAACTATAATGGCCTACTGCTTGCTCCCCCTCTACAAAAAGAGACTGCAACAAAGAATGAATAAACTGCTGGGCACTCGCAGCTCACATCTAGCTACTGGGGAGGCTGAGATCAGGAGGATCATGGTTTGAGGCAATCCTGGCAAATATTTCATAAGACTCCATCTCCAAAATAACCAGAGCAAAATGTACTGGAGGTGTGGCTCAAGCAATAAATAAAGTGCCTGCTTTGCAAGTGCAAAGCCCTGAGTTCAAACCCCAGTCTCCTCACCCCACCCTCCCTCACACAAGGAATAAATGACTATATTGGAACTAGAGTAGCACAGAAAATACATGGGACAGTATTGGGGAAGTGGAGAGATACCTGTGGAGTGCATGGAATATCTTTTTCTATCCCTTCACTTTCAGTCTGAGTCTTACGATGGAGTGAGTTTCTTGTTGGTAACATACAGTTGGGTGGTTTTTTGTTTGTAATTGTGGTACTAGTGGTTGAACCCAGGGCTTTGAACTTGCTAGGCAGGCACTCTACCACTTACTTCCCACACTGGCCATTTTTGCTTTGGTTATTTTTGAGATAGGGTCTTACTTTATTGCTGAGCCACAATTCTATTTATGCTTCCCAGGCAGCTAGAATGACAGGTGTGTACCACCACACCCAGCTTTTGTTGGTTGACATGGAGACTCTCAAACTTTTTGCCCAGGCTGCCCTTGAACCTCAAACATCCCAAACTCTACTTTTAAGTAGCTAGTATTATAGGCTTGAGCCACTATGCTCAGCCTTGATTATTTTTTTAATCCACTCATCTAGTTCTGGGTTTTACAAGATCATTATTCCCAAACCAGACAAAGAAAGAGGGACAGAGAATTATTATTGTGAAATTGTTCTTGCTAGCCAAAACAATCTACAGGTTTGATACAATCTCTATCAAAATACCAGACATTCTTCACAGAAATTGAAAAACACTCCCAAAATTTATATGGAATCAAAAAAAGCCTCCCAAAACTCCTGAGCAAAAAGAACAAAGCCAGAGTCCTCACAATTTCTGAATTAAAAACATATATCAAAGGTACAATAACCAAAACAGCATAGTACTAGCATATAAACTGAAACACCAACCAACAGAACAGAATAGAGAACCCATATGTTTACAGTTAACTGATTACTGATAAGAGGTACCAAAAACATACATTGGAGAAAGGACAAT